ATTAGATTTTTTTGGTCAAAACTGAAAAGCGTCTCATTACCGAAATCAACAAATTAAATAAAGAGTGATTGTTTCGATGATAACCTTTTCCAATTTGGAATGACCAATCCAATTATTTATCAAACCCCAAATAAAAATTTCATCAGTTCTCTCATATCTTTAAGTAGCTTTTACAAAAGTACGGATCCTCCACTAATTCTTAACCAGCTGAGCATACATTCTTATCATAACTTTTCCTCATTTCAATAAAAGAATTCGAACGAAAATTTTCTCGAGTAATAAATCTCTTCATAATTCTCCCTCAGTCCAAGTAAATAATCAAAACAACTTTATCCTTGTGAAATCAATTCAGCCTTGGCTACGTGAATAGGCTCATAGAGCATCAGCATATCTCAATTTCATTTCCGGAGTCAAGTCAGAATGTTTCAAATAAATAACTCTTACATGGCTCGTGAGGCACTTCACAACGTTTAGACAGATGTTACTGGTATTCCTTTTTGTATAAATATAGCCTTAACGGATAGAAACTTCGATTTACTCGATACATATAGGGGCTCAACCTTAGAGTTCCAGCTCAGAGAGGTACGATTGTATTCTAAGGGCATGTACTGATCAGACATATTTTGACATTCGACCGACCGGTCTATCTTGAAAAATTTTGACTCAAACCATAGCTCTGATACCACTAAATGTAACCCCCACAGACCGATAAGGGTAACCAGATCCGATCCGGGGTGTCACATTTGGGCCACCGGAGTGACCCACTATAAAAATAGCGGAAAATTTAAAACTTTTTAAATTACATGTAAACTAATAAAATCAGTTGTTACTATTTAAAAATAAAACAGATTTCCAGACTCATATATAAATCAAAATACAATTACATGCCCCCTAATCACATGTACCATTCTCTGGAAACAATGCCGGAAGAATTCCTTTACTGATGTCGATAACTGCACTGGTACAATTCTTTTAACCTGAAAAGGTGAGTAATAGAGTGAACTTCGAAAAGCTCAGTAATACAGAACTACCAGATGATGCTGAAGAACGTGCAGATACAGATAAACATACATATCCTTATTATTTCCGAATATTTATAGATTTTTATGCTGAGCAGAGATCCTACTGATATTTCATATGGTAACAGACAATGAGCTTTCAATTCAGACAAATATTTCGGATGACTGAGTTCAGGAGATCAGAATATGTGATCTAGTGTGTTCCCAAAAACCATGTAACTTTTCAGATCTTTTTAAAACATATATATATATATATATATATACCCCATCCCAACACATCATAATGTGTAGGTTCCCCAGAACCATACACCCAACCCAAAACATCATATAAGGCCCTGAGCACAAAGCCGAGGAACCTGCAAAACTTCTTCCTTCAATAATACCCCCCAATTAAAACATTTTTCGTCCGTAAACGGATATATCAAAAATCAAAACATAAATCAGGTCAAGTATCATATCAGAAATCAAATCAAGTAACAGATCAGAATCCAAGTCAAGTATCAGATCAGAATCCATGTCAGATATCAGATCAAAATTCAAATCGAAAATCAGATAAAATATTCATGTGAGTAGGGAACACACCAGAGTTTATGGACATTATTTAGAGGAACTAGATAATCTTATAAGGTAGAGAAACGCGGATCTTCAGTTTACCGATAGAATGTCGGTATTTAGGATCACTATAGGAATATTTCAATAACTATCGGAATCATCAGTTATTCAGAATGTGAATTATCAAGATCATATCTTATTCGGACAGTTTTCAGAAGTTTTACGTAATCAGAAGGGTATTCAGGATCTTTTACATCCATATCAATTGAGTGGATAATCGAACAACTTAACAACGAAGATTCAGAACCTTAACAATCTATGTCGATTGATCGCATTATCGAACAACTCTTAGATGAATAGTTCCTAGAACTAATACTTATCGACTGGTCATTTAGTGTCATTCTAGGGTATTTACACTTTAATACCAAAAATTCTTATCCATAGATCATCTTCGGAGTCATCACTGAATAGATCTTCCAATGTCTTTATTTCATTTTTACGCTTCTACTATATCATGAAATACTGACGTGTTTGATTTGTAGTTCATGATCCAGAAGAACAATACATCGTGTATGTTCATTAACGTTTCTAGACTCATCCAAATCACTTATTAAAATCTTAGTCATTGAGGTTACTTATTTCACTTAGTAGTCAAATCCATTCCAATTACTTCAGAGTTTTCCAGATTAATTTGGACGTCTCTAAATTTCGGATACATATTGTGCTTCTGTTCAGTTCGGTCTTCGTGGTTGATTTGTCGAACAAATATCCAATTCTTAGTGCTTAACACGATCTAGAGTTGAGCTGAGCTGAATACTTCCAAAAGTATCATCGAGCCAAACTTGAGAAGACAAACACGCATTCAAGCAATATTTATGCCGTTCAGGTACTGACATAGCTTTAGGGTTGATCTACTCACTTAAGTTTTGTTCCATAACTTTTAAAGGTAGTCCAACACCTATGCTTATTTAGATTCCTTAAGTAATCCAAGACATTTACTTAATATAGGCCATAAGGGTATTTTGGTAATTTTGGTGTTCGATTTTATTCCATTCATTTCAGACCTCGAGGATATCCAATCATTCTTGAGCTTGGTGGTATTCTTGGTCATTGTACAGATTCAATGTACTTTAATCATTTCCTTCCGTCTGATCTTACTATTAAATTCAATCTTATCATTTATTTCAGTTCTTTCGAACAATTTTGACAACAAAACAACCTCAACAAATTATTCTTCAGGTATTTACTCATAACTCGGATATTTCCGGGTCAAGTGCCTTCTCAGATTTTACAAACGGAATATCAGGAATTTTCCTGCACTAAGTCAGGATCTTAACAATTAAATCTGTACTTAATCGAGTTAAGTACGAATCCCCTAAGTATTTTCTCATTCAGAGTCAACTCAGACTATTCTACCTATTAAGGGCATTTTCGTAATTTTTTAACCAGATAATTTCGATATTAGCTCTTAACGAAAATAATATAATTTAGAGATCCCATGATTAATGCTTTCTTGAACACTCTCTGATCTTGAAACGGTTCTCGTAACAAACTTCTAGTATCATTCACAAACTCTCATAGGATTAAAACCGGTTATCCATAATTTCCAAATAAAACTAACATTTCTTATGCACATCAATATTTTTATCAGATCAATATATCTGTAAAAATCCTCTTATCTAACTTCCATATTCAAATCTTGTCTTTTTATAACATAAGGGTATTTTCGTAATTTTTACCCTGCCGGAGTATTCTCATAATTTCTCATCCAAGTACCTTTAACATTTAACCTTTGATGAAATATATTATAAGTTGCAGATACAAGGCTGATTTCTTTATCACTAATCACAAACTTGTAATTTAATCTAACAATTCCTCAATCTCTTATATTAGTCATTCGATCCGTAATTATTTACAGAATTTCTACCACATCATATCGAGTGTATAAATTATTCAACTCCATCAAAGTGACCAACATTATCTTGTCATGCATTTATCAATATAAACATGTTTCATAAAGCATAAAGAGGTAGTAAAGTATTACCTCGATTTCCGTGCAATACTGATCGACCATAAAAAATTCCATTCGAACGCCTTTGATCTTCAATTCAATTTCCAATAATTCCTCAGATACATATCAACATAATTATATCAGAAACGAAGCTTAATTGTGATAAACAGATTGAATCGGGTCATAAATCAGTGAAAAATAGCTTACCGGGTTTGAATTTTGTGAAACGGACTTCGGATTCGGATTCAGGACATTGAAAGCATAAAATATGACTTTTCGAAAATTTGAAATTTTCGGTCAAAATCAAAGTCAACGGGTTTGACTGGCAATTTTGAGGTCTTCGGGTTCGAATTTCAAAAAACGGACAGCGGAATCGGATTTGGAGCGTCGAAAAATGTCAGGATAGGTATATTCGGTCAAAGTCAAAGGTCATTTAATACTCGGTCAAAGCCAGTCAAAGTTTTGGTCAACGGTGGTCAACGTCGGTCAACGGTTAACGGGTCAACAGGTCTGGTAAACGGGTCGGGTCGGGTCGGGTTATGACCGGTCAAACCGGTCAACTATGCACCAAAACCGGTCAAACCGATCACTTTTGTCTTCTCCACGCGCAGTGGCGGCGCGTGGGGGCGCGTTAACAGTGCCCTGATATCGGAAAATTCCCGGAAAAATTCCTAAAAATTATTTTAAGCGATTTCAAGATACTTACAAAGCTCGGTTCACAATTTTGAACGACGGAGAGCTCGATTTCAACAAATCGGAAACTTTGACCGCTTCACCTCCTCACGCGCCGCCGTCGACGGAGACCAAGGATGACACCGACAGACTCGGAACGGAACAAGGAACACGATGGTGCGGGAGGTGTCGTAAACGGATGACTCGATCGTCGTGAATCGATGAAAAACCAATTGAAATTCAGTGGATATGATAAATTTCACCAAATTGAATCAAAGAGCATAAACAATCAAATTCATGATGGATACCATTCAAAAGATGTGGTATACAACAGAAGATAAGTAGGTGCTTTTTGGTTTGAGCTTAAAAGAGAGCAAAATAAAAATAAATCACACTTTAACTTAAACAGCCATCACCCAAGACTATTCTTGTACGTCAACATCTCAAAATTTTCTTTCTAGGCAACAACTAGAGATGCTGAGAAAGGAGAAAGAAAGGTGATATTAAGAAATCAAACCTGTCCTCAGCATAGTAAATATGTCTGTTAGAGGGACGATTATCAATGGAATGCAACACTGCAGTTAGCTTCTCAACTTTCTGCAGCAGAATATAATAGTATAAATAATAGGAAATTATCATATAGCTCTTGATAAACCAAAAATCACTCATTGAACCTTTCTTTCACTTTGCAACTTCTGCAATATATATCTTATGTCTTGGGTCTTCATTAGCATGAGTTCTTCATTAGTGTATTTGTTAGCTTGATTTCTATAATAACAAAGAATTTGGGAAGAAAAGAAAAATACCAGATAAGCTTTCTATAGATTTGCAAGCCCAAGTAGAAAAAAAAACATAAACATGAAAGCCATATTGTACTCTGGTTTATGAACTCCATCCACAGTTCTTGTTTTTATCATCTGAAAGTAGAATTCATTTGGATTTCTGAATGCAGCTTTCTCCTCGAGTTCTGTAGAGAAAATCAACAAACGTGCAAATTATAAAAAAAAAGGGATGAAATTATAGTCAGCACTCTTATTACAGTCAAAGAAGTAAGAAATTGGATGCAATCAACAAAATAAAATTACCCGTAAGGTCTCTTCCTTCTTGTGGAATGCTTTTACACGGACAGCTCCTCGCAAAAAGTCTCGCCAAATCGAAGAAGAATGATATTTTCTTTCAGCCAAAGCAAGCTAATGGGGAGGAGTATTTTAGCCAATAGAGGACGGGAATCAACAAATACCTAAGGGAGATGGTGGACTAACATTCCTAGTAAAACAGGAAAAAAAACCCACTGTTGGTATTCAAAGTTTACCCGCACTTGAGAATAATAACCATTCAAACATGGGTATCTTTACCCAGAAAAATAGATTCCTCCAAGGAATATTTTAATTCGTGAACCAAACGGGGCCTAAATTATCTCGTGCAGCCCCATCAACCGTCCGACGCACCTCAAAAGTAAATTTTCCTTCATCAAATATAACATGCCTTGAAATAAACACCTTCCCTTCTTCATCCAAACAGTGATATTCTTTTTGATAAAGACCATAGCCCAGAAAAACACACTTTCTTGACCTAAACTACAACTTATGCTGATTAAAAAACATAGCACACAAGTAGCAAGCAAAACCAAAAGCCCTCATAAGTGAATAATCTGGAACTTTCTGATATAACACTTCAAAGGGAGTCTTGTCATTCAAAATTTTTGTTGGGAAACTATTTATAAGAAATACAACCAAAACAAAGGCATAGCTCCAATATTTTAGTGATAAAAATGTCTGCGCCAACATAGCTAAACCCATTTCCACAATATGTTTGTGCTTTCACTCAGCTCAACCATTCTTCTCAGAGGTGCCGATATTGAACACCATAGTGAGCCTTGTGAGCCTCGTCGTAGCAGAATTTTCTGAATCTGCGCATCCTTCACAACACAGTCATTAGGATAAAACTCGATGAATACACAATTATCTCGAGTAAATTGAGATACAGACAACAACTTTTTCTTTATGTTAGGTACATGCAACATTTTCCTCAGAACCATAGATTTCTCATTAGTATTTAAAACACCCTGACCTATATGAGCAATTTTGACACATGTCCCATTGCCCATGCATAAAGCATTATCGCTTATATATATGATGATTGTTCACAATCGTTAATATTTGTTTGTTATTTATTTGATCTTGTGGATTTATTGCTGCTGATTTAGTTGTGTTATGTTTATTTTCGTATAGGGCCTTACTTTCCAGAATTAGTGATAAAACGGCGCATTTTGCATTTTTTTATTATTTGGTTACGGCTGGAAATATGGACACGACTTTGGGCATGACGCGGTCTGACGTGACAGTTCCTAGAAGGTTCAGTCAGTGACGGTTTCTAGAAGATCTACCTAGCACGCTTTCTGGAAGATAGACGAGTAAAGTTGCATTAGGAGACTAGTTTAAAGTTTGAATTTAGAAAAAAAAATATCTTTAGGATTATTTTATTTTAATTTTTTTGTTTATCCTTAGACTTTGAGAAACTATAAATACCCTCTTGGGGTAAGCCTAAACATCACTCAAATTACAATTTTTCTCTCTCTCTAGTTTTATTAAAGTTTTATCTTTTTACTTTTCAAGTTTTCATTTTTCTTTTATTTTCAAGCTTAATTTTGAATATGCTAAGTATGACTTTTGTCATGCTTAGCTAAATTTTTCATAAGCCTAGAGCTGAAGCGATGACTCAATTCCAACAGGAGAATTGAAACAGACCCTTAATATCTTCGAAATATCTCTCTTAATCTATGCGCTTATTTTTCAAAATAAAAACAGTTTTCAAAATCAAAGATAGACTTTGGTCTAGATTGTTGTTGCGATTAACGTGTGGGAGGAAGATTCGGCTTATAGAAAGCATTCGACTTCCTGGGAACACAATTGGAGAGATAACTTCGCCAAGAGGGAATTGAGATCGGAATTGACGGTTAAAGAAGCAACAATCCGAGTCAGTGGCCTCGAACTTAAACGGTAATTGATCTACGACAATTGATGTTGATTAGATTAATTTCCGAAGCCGGAATCAAAGATTGCCTTGGGTATTCGGTATACAAAATAGAATCACGATGATAGCCCTTGTAGACAAAGTAACTGACGTGAATCCCGAAGGAAAAATCTAATTCGATGATCTAAAGGAAATTGAGTCAAAGCGAAGCTTGAGGCTGTTTTTACCATATCTATTTTTCGACTTTAAAATCATTTATTTATTTTTACTTCAAATCGCCTTTATTAATATTTAAAAATCTTTTTACAAAAACCCCCTGTTATTACATTCATGTCTGGCTTAAACAAACCGAACATAAAATTATAATTTTTCAAGTCTTTGTGGAATCGACCCCTTTTTCTCTTTACTACACATTTTCTTCATTTATTAGTCGGGAAGAAGGAATTTTGTTTGACATAAAAAATGACAGTTGTTGATATACCATACCTGAGTTAATACAGACAGGTCATTAGTCACATGATGAGTGGCACCAGTGTCCTGATACTAGACTGGACCGTTTGTGACTTTTGTTGAAGAATGAACATCTAGATGAGACGAAAACGCTGAAGTAAAAGCAACGTAAGTCAAAGTCACAAAGGGATTTTGAGCATAAGTTGGCCTGAACGAAGCATCAAGTGCAACCCCAATAGAAACTCCATATGGTTGAAAATAACCTAGAGGAGGTGAGGGATAAAGAAGAACTCTAGAAAACATTGGATTAGTCGAGTAAACAAATGAAGGAGGAGTCTGCGAAATTGGATGTACAGTGTGATTAAAACCTGAGCTTAAGTTTGTGGCTGTCTCTGGTCAAAGTGTGAATTACTCGACCGCTGATGAAAATCTCCTGTTATAGCACCAAATTCAGCGACACCACCATAATCCCTATCAAACTGATGATAACACTTCTGCACAACATGACCAAACTTGTCACACAGGTGGCATTGCGGCCTATTTGAATAATGATTCCTACCACCCCTCGGCCTCGATAACCACTATGTTGATCTCTCTCCAAAGAGGATTGCACCTCTGTTGACCCCTTGACACTTGAAACACTGCCACCTCTGTCGTTCATTTGCACCATATTAACCCAGAACCCTTCACTTAAAAACACCTATTGTCGAGCTTCACAATCTAATAACAGTTCAGTAAGAGTATCCAAAGACACTTCTTCCCGAGAGGCTATAGAGATGATTGACTCAAACTCCATTGTCAAACCAGCTGAGACAACATTAACATGCTCTTGCTTAGTAACAAGACTGCTTGATGCATTTAATAGATCACAAATAGACTTGACTTTCGCCAAATATTCACTAATAGACAAACTAGTCTTCCGTTGAGAACGAAGACCATGTTGAAGGGAGGAAATCTTGGCACTTGTTCTCGCACTAAACAATTGAGACACAACATTCCAAATGGCAATGGTTGTTGTAAGCCCTGTGAGATGTGGTAACACATCCAAGCTAACAGTAGTTAAGAGCCAAGAGGCTAGTAACTTGTCTTGCTGCCTAAAAACCACAAACTCTGGATTCTCTTCAACCTACCCAGAACTGTTAGTAACAAACTCACTTGGTACAACATTATTACCGGAAATAAAACACAGCAGGCCATAACCATTAGTGATTAAAGAAATTTGATGCTTCCACAATAAATATGTATTCTCAGTAAGCTTGACCATATCATGCTTAGGAATATGTTGAATTGCATTTAACCTCGACACACTAGAATTCACAGGAGAATTGATCTAAGATGCATTCTCAGTATCATGAGATTGACCAACAGTAAGATCCACCATTGTAACAAAGAATAAAAAAGAACTTCAAGCAAGAAACACACAAAACCAGATCCAAAAGAAACTCAATGAAGTAGCCCAAGAACGGAAACACATATAAGAAATAGATCAAGAAACATATCTATCCAGCTCTAGCTCTAAAAAACACCACTGTACCAGCGAAAAATCAGTCAAAACAAGCAGCATAAAGAAAATCCCAAGACCAGGATTTGGCGAATGATATCATGTTAAGATAGCAATAAAGCTATCAAAGAAAACACAATAAAATAGAATAGAGAACACAAATTCTTTCTCAGACTTTCATTAGAAAATCACTCATACACAAAGAAGAAATACCTGACTATTTATACAACTAATCTAGCTTAACAGAAGTCCTAACTAACTAACAACTTGTAACACCAGCTAATTGCATGCAGAACGTAATGAATGGGACCCATTCATATTATACACTTACACTTACAAGGATAGTAGTAGTATTTATTTAAAAACTCTCAATAATTTACATTGACAAACTCAAATACTCTATAATTTCTATTGCACAAATCTATAATAACAATCATTTTTAATCACTAAAGTAATTTAAACTAATAATTTATATGGAAAATATCAGTAGATATTTCATTTTCCTTTTTTCCCCTCATATGTTGCTCGCTCTTGACCTAAATTTTATATTTTTTTTTGTCGATGACGACATCAACTCTAAACTAATCACTAATTGTTGATTTTCCCCTCCTTGTATAACTCAAGCTATATATTTTTTTTGTTTAATTATTTTTTTCATATAAAATGATGAACGATTTTATTTATTTTTATATCATGGTTATTTCTGTTTTTATAGTATTTTTTTTTCATCTTTTATTATGATTGGGTTTAATGTTAACTCTCCAAATTCATATGACATATATTTGGATATCTTGTTAATCTATCCATGTCTTGTAATAACTAAAGATATGTTATGATTTAGTCGTAGTAATGTCAATTTGTCAAAGAACTATTATTGTTAAATATATTTTTATGTTAGTGTCGATGTAGTTTTTCATTCGTCCTTGATAATAATATTTGTTTTATTTATATTTTATCTAAGTTTGTTAGTTAAATTTTTAACCTTTCTTTTATTTGGTCATTTTTTAATCTTTCCGACTTATGTGATTAATTTAGGTTTTTATGAAATTTTTTATAATCTAAGATGCTTTTATTTTATTTAATAAAATTAATTATTACTATTATTTCAAAAAATCATATAATATTTATATAAAGGGAAACTACCAAACCTAATATACAATCGTAACGTTAA